TAATCGAACCATTAGGAAAGAAATAATATTTTTTACAATATGCTACTGTTATTTTTGTATCTAGATTTCATATCAACTAATAGATGAAGTCGGCACATTACCAAGACTCTTCATTTTTTGTTTAATTACTTACTAAATTTAAAGCAGTATTATTGTTCTTCTAAACAGAGCTCTTATAAAATATCATGAATATAAATAAACAAAAGGTTGGGATTTGTGATTAGCGATGTAATTTACATCGCTAAATGTAAATTACGCCCCCAAATGCCTTGGTATGGCCGAGAGTGGGGAGAGTCCGCTCTCCCTCTCGAAATGCTCTCACATGGCCACGCGTATATAGCCTCTGCTAGGGAAGTCCTACCTACTGCCTTCTCGTGGCACTACTGTTGTTTACGAAAATGAGAGGACGAAAAGCGAATGTCCGGCGCCTTAACCGGATCCCAAACCGATGGTGCATATGGGCTGGCTCCAGTATCCTGAAGGAATAAATGGCGTATGAACCAATCGTTGGTCACCGGCTACCATGGGACTGCATCTCCTGACGATGCTCCACTGCCTTGTGGTTCAGGTCGAAGGCTCGGGGTGTGGCCTCCTAAGAAAACCATCTGTTTCGGTTTGGGCACCCGGGCAGTATCACGGCCCTCACACAAATCAATTGAGATTCGTGTGGCGCATATGTATTTGGTGCCTCCTTGTACCAATATCTATGAGTTAAAATTAAATTATTTATGTATATTACTGAACAACTAGGGAATTCAAAATTACATCGAAAGGATTAGGTGGTAACAATCAAATATACTGTCGTAAAATGATAAGTGCCAACTGTTTAACACTGAAACCTGACGATGATTACAACAATTTTGAAAGTTTATTGTACTATACTTCATATTTACCACGAAATTCTACACATCCCAAGCTTTTTAAAAATGTTTTACTAGTATTTAAATAAAAATTGTAATAAAAGAAATAATGAATATACAGATAATTTGCAGTAAAATTATAAAGTCAACATTTCTAAACTAATCTATCCCAACTTTGAACTATCACAGTTTTCGGTATTTTTCTGTGCATGTACTAGATTAACAAGATCTTCACTGAATGGTAGGGTCTCAGCACGACACAATGGACACGGTACCTACAGGAATGGAAAAATATGTAGTTAGTATTTTATTAATCAGATGACTCATTTTTTTGTTTTGAGAAAACCTATTTCAGAATTAAACACGGATTTATATCTCGTAAATAATTGGTCACTTATTATTTATATTGCAAATATGCTTACTTCTTGTTACGATGTTGAGTGAATAAGAGATGTATAGACTATATATTGATCTATTTAGTTTTTGTGAGTTATTTACTATCACTTACCTGAAGCAGGGAAACGAATAACGTTCATCCAGAATGACATCAAGAAATTGGAATAATTTAACATATTACAAGAAATACATGATGAAAACGAGTTTTTTTTTTTTTTTGCAAGTGTTTATGTGTTAATTCTATGTAGCTAATTATATGATTATGTGAGTTAACGACCTAAATTATCAGTTAAGATAAGGCAATAAATTAATAGTATGTTTGTAATATTCCTAACTACCCATTCAATTTGGTTTACTTTTCTAAACAATCATAATTAAACCTTTCAAATTTCACTCAATTAACAAAAATCAGCTATAATTTTTTACATTAAAAGTATCACATCTTTTACAATATATTACATCTCGATCTAGACATAATATGATCGAACTTGTTTCGAATTCACTAAATATTCTGCTTTGTCTCACTGTACAACTTCGATTTGTGTTATGTTGATTTAATTGTTTTATAAAGAAACGACTTACAACAAATCAAAATTCGATTTTCTGTTTATTGAGATATTTTGTTAATTTATTGTTAAAAATAATACATTCAGTGCTCAGTCTATTTGAAATTATCAAAGCAAACAATTTTTGTTGAATTATTTATTATGTGCAGATACATGTACTTGACTCTGAGCCACAACATCAAATGTAAGGCCTAGAGATACTAAACAGTTGCTCTAAACAAACAAGCTGGGACATAGCTCGAACCTGTGAATTATGGGTTGAAAGTCACATGGCTTGGTAGTCATATGTCAGGCACAACGTAGTAGCAGGCAAATATATAGCATACCTCAATAGCACACCAAATTCATAGAAGCATTTACTTCAATGGTAGTAATATATGGAAGAAAGATTGTATATAAGGATATAATACAAGAAGAAAGAATTAATTCGTAGAAATAAAAGTATAAAGTAATTTTAATCTCACGGATTAAGGGAAGACAAAGAGTGTATACACCTACATCATTGTGATCGATTCTGAGCCATGTTATCCAGTCTCCAACCATTAAGTACGACAGTCACACGGACTCTAACCAAGTAGTGTGCATCTACCAACATGGCTCAGACCAGAAAATAGTGACTTTATGGAATGATGCCATGTTTTGGTTTGACCTCCCCTAACCTTTTTGCATTCATCCCCAACACTAGTCAGCATTGTGCGCCGTGGTAATCGGTGTTCAGGCATACGCAACACGCGGCCCAACCATCTCAATCGATGTAGACTCACGACCTCATCAACTAACTTACCATCATTCCCTAATACCCTGCATCTGAACCTCACTATTACTTACCCGGTGATCCCAGCAAATGCGAGCAATATTTCTAAGACATCTGTGATCAAATACTAGTAACTTAGTTAGCCAGTCAGTCATCAGCAACGTAGAACTTCGTACGTGCGCACATCAGTTCGAGTTGCCATACCACATTTGCAGAGATACAATTGTCGATTCAAATCCTATTGTGGTGCAGGTAGTAAGAGTATAAGCAGTAATCGGAAAAATTAGGGTTTGAAGATGTTATTCAAGGAGTATAATCCAGTGAAACAAATTTGGAAAGACAAAAAAGGGACGTGAAGAATTCAGAAGATCAGAATTTGGGAGAACACAAAAAGTGGATGCACCTGCGCCATTGCAAACACTTTAATTAAAAGTATCCTTTAACTTTAATGGTCATGTTTCGCAGCCGTAAAGTAGAGTAGATAAACTGCCACGCAGTATATACTCGTCCCGTAATTGACAGACGGATATCTCACTTTCGCCATAGGTGAGGTAGATTAGCAAAAGCCACACGAGCGCTTTGAATCTGTGCAGAGATTTCGCCAGATACCAACCGATTAGGGATGATCAGACTCGCAAGATAAGTGAATTTGTCGACGCGTCCGACTACTTCACTCGCTATCCTAAGTTCAGGTGTTGACGCAGACCAGTCTTGAAGTAACAAGTTGCATTTCGAGGAGGAAAACCGCATTTTAAAAATCCTAGCATTGTTGCTCAGTGCTACCGAAAGACTGCATTTTATCGGTGTCTTCGCCAAATAGGGCTATGTCATTTGTGTATTCTAGGTCGATAAGTGGACCTACTGGGAGGGGATCAATGCCCAAAAATTCAGTCGACGAGAACGTTATTTACTAGGAGAACTACGAAAGCGATCATCAAGAAGATACAAGTGTTTATTTACAGTTGCTTATGCGAAATACTTCGGATCCGTTGACCAGACACTATCAGAACAAACTATTTGACTAGTAGGAGTTTATGTATCCAAATCAGGTTAGTATTTTGAGCTATGTTCTATATAATGTGGTTATCGATAGTAATAGACTGTCGTGATTTGGGTGAGGGTTCTAGATATGTTACATTTATCACATATTTGTTTGTAAATCTGAAAAAGCATAAGACCTGATAAGAAATCAATTATAAAACATAACTAGCAGCCACTATCTTACACCATTGATTGGTCACTGGATGGTGATCAATATCATGTGTGTCAAGTTCTTCTTAGTGCAGATCGAATGCTATCGATCGAGTTTAAATGTGGCCACCAGGCTATATGACTCAACACTGTATGCGCTATATTGAGATTAGATTGTGGTTGGAGGTAGTCGACAGGGAACCCTGGACCCGGGTTCCGTGCTCCTTGGCACTCGTCAGTAAGGTGTACGTGTAATCTTGAGATAGCTGGTGCTCCCTGACGGACTCGATCTTGTCACCCAGCTTCACAGTCAGAGACGTTACCACTGAGCGATCCGAGCCGCGACCGACCTCCTGTAGGACTGAGATGTAATCACAATTGATTGATCACTGGGTGGTGATCAATGTTTGTGTGTCAAGTCGTTATCAGTACAGATCGAATGTTATCGACCAAGTTGCTTTGTTAATCACTACACCCCCGATGTGAATTATAAATATAAGTGTGATTACCGCTTTCTCGTTGAATTGAGTGCCTGTTCATTTGTGACTACTAGAGTGTACTCTTGGAATTATCAGTCATTATATCGAATCCAATTCTTCAAACGATTATATGTTTAAATACTCGGCTATTCAGACTTAAGCTGAGGATTTTGAACAGCTGAATTAAAATACATTCAATTACTGAAGAAAAAAACTTGCTTTGAGTATGGTATATAACTGCCATCGAAAGCAAACAGTGTATTTAAGTAGTAATCTCAAAGCCGAAATTAACTAAGTAAATTAACCAATAATTCATTATTTTTTTATTTGAACACGTAAATATTGGTACAAAATGGCGTCAAATACATATGCGCCACACAATAACAATAAGAATGTGAGGAGATAAAGAATGTATGGTGCGTATACGAAGGCGAACAATAACGAACAGGAATTAGTGTATGACAGTGAGATAATAATAATGGTAGCAGCACTTCAGTTAGCAAATATACAACCAGAAAGAATTCTTCCAGTTAAAGAAGTTACGTCCATTTTTTATGAAGTAAAATAAAATTACAACAGGATCGCCATTGGCTTCTATTCTGAGCCATATCTGATGACGTCTCAAGCCACTGTGTTGCACCATCTCTAGGACCCCAACCAGGGAGTCGTGAAGAGCCAACAGAAGCCAGTCCCGTACAGCTTTTTTCATACTGTGTCATAAACTGACCACCTCTCAGCGTTTTTTAAACCAGTCCCAGCATCAGCAAATAATACACGACGTGGAACTCTCTGAAATGATATTCGTAGAACATGTACAAGCCGCCGAAGTCGACGCTTCAAGATGGTGACACCAATCGAATTATCTTCGCTGTGCACGAACACACGATGCTGAACCTCTGCATTACTAACATAGTGTTGCCACTGAATGTTAGAAATCCTTCAGAGACAACAATGACCAAAAATAGAGAGTCGTCTGACATCCTCAACTCGGAGAGGCCAGGTTTCACAAGCATACAGCAGAACTTCTCTCACCGACGCGTTGTAAACCCGACCTGTGGAGGACCAAAAGCTATATTAACCAAAAAGGAATAGCAATCAAGTTATTACGCCCAAAAGTTAATGTAACAATAAACAACTTATGAATTATTAACTCAAAATAAAAGTTCAGGGATGTTACTTAAATCAGTTGGCTGTTGCGTGTTCCGTTGCGCTTGGTACCAAAATACCCACAATTATAGATAATTAATAATTCCAATCAGGTAAATATGGCTCCAGTAAGTCTTCCTGACGTAGAATGCAATAGGAATGTCACAGCAGTCTATAAATATAAATGATAGTTAATTAATAGTTTGGTTATTATATCCACAGACATGATAGAACGAGGCATGTATGCATAAGAGTGTATTTATTAATGCGCGATTAACAATGTCGTGCTATGCGTAATTCAAAACGGAAGGAAACAAGCAAGCAATCAAGTCAAAGTCACGCACTTAAACAACAAGTACAACCGTTTTGTGATAAATGTACAGATTGTGGAAATAAACAAAATAAATGCAAAAACTATTTACAAAATAGGTTTATTAGGCCTATCTCCACATAGCTCCCCCCCAGAGCGTCCGGAGGTAACACTGGTTATAATAACAACAAACAACAAAAACAAAAAAATGGTGGAATTAGGTATGACATGCACCTTAGTAATATACAATGTGTTACTGTGTAAAATAGTATTGCTGCAGCATATCATAACAACCACAGAAAAAAATGAAAATACATGCATTCGAAGTCTTGGTTTCGCCAATAATAATAATAATGCGTAAAACTATTGATAAGCTCATAAAATATTGGCTTGTTTATTTTTATGTACAATTAATAAATAATTAAATACAGTTCATCGGTTTATTATTATGACAATTTTTCTTAATTAAAAAAAAAAACTAACAAAACAAGTGATCGTGAAGAAATGTAATTAATTATATGTGTATATGAAGAAAGGAAATAGTTTTTACTGGAAAATTGAGTAAATTTAACCTTGTGATATGTATCACTGTTTTTGCTTTTATTAGTCTACGAAATGTACATAACGTTTAGATTTCTTTATAAGTCTACCGGAGCGTGTTAAACAAGAAGGCTTAGTATTAAGTTTTTCATCCTCCACTGGTTTTACAGTATCTGATGGGAGGAGTTGTTCGTCAACAGTATTGTCTTCTTTGACTTGAGTAACTTCGTAGAAAGCAGGTTTTATTCTGTCTATGGAAATGGTCTCCTTGTTGCCATTTCTGTTGATGATGAAGTATTTTTGTGTGCGTTTAATGACTTTATATGGGCCTTCGTACGGAGACCGAGATCTAAGATGAGTGATTGTTCGCCATAAGTTTTAATGACGGTGTTGTTAGCTGCGACTAGAGATAATTCAGTTCTCTTAGAGTGCTGTCGTTGAGAGAGGTGTAATGAAAAAATGCCGATTTCGGCTCCTGCATCGAATAAAAGATCTGAGCACGAAATTCGACCCCTGACGTGGAATAGACGGCTCGGGTAGTGGCCAGAAACAGGCGCCGCCATCACTGCCTGACCGTGCGGTTTCCCTGATTCTCTGTGTCAGTCGAAGAAAATGTGCACGGTCGTGTGCAACGCCGTGCTTTGGTGCCGTACTTTTGGTGATAACAACGAACTTCAGATGTTTGCTTCGGTGACCGAGACCGTTGTCTAGAAAAAGATCGTTTTGAAGAGGATCTCAATTGTCTAGCTTGGACGGTTGCAATAGTCATCTGTAGTGACGCTAGCTGGATCGTTAGTTGCGTTAACTGCCTTTGGAAGGAGGCTAAACAACAGATATCTGCTGGTTCAGCTGGTAGCAGAGTTCACACAGTGACTATCATGGTAGACTTCCATCATTTTATCCGCCATGTCGGCTAGATCTTTATATACAATCTTTCTTCCATATATTACTACCATTGAAGTAAATGCTTCTATGAATTTGGTGTGCTATTGAGGTATGCTATATATTTGCCTGCTACTACGTTGTGCTAGGCTTAGTAAGAGCTTATCATCAAATCCTGATGGCACCCGAAGATATTTTGAAAACAGCCATAATTGCGCCTTTTGGTCTGTTTGAATTCTTGAGAATGCCGTATGGGATAAAAAAAACACCGCTCAGACATTTCAGAGGTTCATGGATGAGGTCACACGAGGTTTAGATTTCGCCTTTGTCTATATCGATGATGTCTTAAACGCCAGTCCATCACTAGAAGAGCACATACAGCACTTAGAGACCCTCTTCGAACGTTTCAAAAAACATGGCGTCGTTACTAATTCTTCTAAATGTATGTTTGGTGTCCCAGCCTTGGAGTTTTTAAGACATTGCATCGACTCCCAAGGCATCAAACCACTTCCAGAAAAAGTCGAAGCCATTACCAGTTACCCAGGACCAACTTCACTAAAATCTCTACGTCGTTTCCTTGGAACATGCAATTTTTATCGACGATTCATACCGAATTGCGCTGATGCACTACAGGTTTACTGAAAAATGATAAATCAGGCCCAAAGAAAGAAAAGAACCAAACACTCAAGTTACCTTCTGATGCCAAAGCGGCATTTGAAAAAGTTAATTCCATGATTGCCAACGCTACCATGCTCCAACACCTAAATACTGACCCCACAATCCATTTGATCTTGTGTACGGATGCTTCACAAAAAGACGTCGGGCCAGTATTACAACAGCAGGTAAACGACACGATTACCCCCATAGCCTTTTTCTCAAAAAGATTATCGCCGACCCAAGAACGTTATAGTACTTTTGGACGTGAACTCCTACCTACGTATTTAGCCGTAAAACATTTCAACTTCTTACTACAAGGCCGTGACTTCACCATTATGACTGATCACAGGAAGCCAGACAACTGGATTATATCTCCCAATTCACTACAGACATCCGGTTTATCAAAGGTCACACCAACATTGTCGCAGACGCACTATCTAGAAAGGATATCAATATGATGGTACTCAATCACGACATCAGCCTCGAAACTTTGGCTAAATTACAAGTAGACGATGCAGATTTGAAAGTCTGCAAAGAAAAGTCTAGCTTGAATCTCAAACATGTACCGATTCCTTTTTCAGACGCATCTATCATTTGCGACACCTCAACGGGTAACAATCGTCCCTTTGTCCAGTATGCATGTCGCCGAAAAATATTTCAACACCTGCATGGTCTGTCACACCCAGGTACCAGAGCTACCACAAAGCTCATAACAGAACGCTTCGTTTGGCCGAAAATCAATTCGGATATTAAACGTTGGACACGTGGCTGTCTTCAGTGCCAAGGCAGCAAGATCCAGAAACATACTATCAGCCCAATTGAGGAATTCCCTATCCTCGACAAACGTTTCCAATATGTTCATTTGGATTTAGTTGGGCCCCTGCCACCGTCAAAGTCCGTCACGCACATCCTCACCGCGGTGGACAGGTTCACCAAATGAGCCATAGCATGCCCCATAAAAGATACGTCTGCAGAAACAATTGCATCAGTTTTCCTTGATCACTGGATATCGAACTATGGAGTACCGTCGATAATCACTACAGATCGTGGCCCCCAACCTCAATCCGTCATATTTCAGGAGTTCACTAAACTTCTCGGGGTAAACCACATCAAAACAACAGCTTATCATCCTGTAGCTAATGGCATGGTTGAAAGATTCCATCGCTAATTAAAAAGCTCACTGATGGCACAAGCTGACTCATCAAAGTGGAGCGATGCCTTACCAATTGTACTCCTCGGGATTCGTTCAACCATAAAAGAAGACATTGGATGCACAGCCGCCGAATTAGTGTATGGCACAGCTCTAACGTTACCTGGTCAAATAGTCAACCATGAACCTACAACTCCAGGGGATTCTAATCGTTTTGTGAGCCGCCCATTACAAACGATGCAGAACATTAAAGCAATATCCCCTCGCGAATACAACAACCGAGTCCAACTTGACAAACATCTTGAAACATGCAAATTTGTTTTCGTCCGAGTAGATGCGGTTAAAAAACCATTGAAACAACCATACAAAGGCCCATATAAAGTAATTAAACGCACACAAAAATACTTCATCATCAACAGAAATGGCAACAAGGAGACCATTTCCATAGACAGAATAAAACCTGCTTTCTACGAAGTTACTCAAGTCAAAGAAGACAATACTGTTGACGAACAACTCCTCCCATCAGATACTGTAAAACCAGTGGAGGATGAAAAACTTAATACTAAGCCTTCTTGTTTAACACGCTCCGGTAGACTTATAAAGAAATCTAAACGTTATGTACATTTCGTAGACTAATAAAAGCAAAAACAGTGATACATATCACAAGGTTAAATTTACTCAATTTTCCAGTAAAAACTATTTCCTTTCTTCATATACACATATAATTAATTACATTTCTTCACGATCACTTGTTTTGTTAGTTTTTTTTTAATTAAGAAAAATTGTCATAATAATAAACCGATGAACTGTATTTAATTATTTATTAATTGTACATAAAAATAAACAAGCCAATATTTTATGAGCTTATCAATAGTTTTACGCATTATTATTATTATTGGCGAAACCAAGACTTCGAATGCATGTATTTTCATTTTTTTCTGTGGTTGTTATGATATGCTGCAGCAATACTATTTTACACAGTAACACATTGTATATTACTAAGGTGCATGTCATACCTAATTCCACCATTTTTTTGTTTTTGTTGTTTGTTGTTATTATAACCAGTGTTACCTCCGGACGCTCTGGGGGGGGGAGCTATGTGGAGATAGGCCTAATAAACCTATTTTGTAAATAGTTTTTGCATTTATTTTGTTTATTTCCACAATCTGTACATTTATCACAAAACGGTTGTACTTGTTGTTTAAGTGCGTGACTTTGACTTGATTGCTTGCTTGTTTCCTTCCGTTTTGAATTACGCATAGCACGACATTGTTAATCGCGCATTAATAAATACACTCTTATGCATACATGCCTCGTTCTATCATGTCTGTGGATATAATAACCAAACTATTAATTAACTATCATTTATATTTATAGACTGCTGTGACATTCCTATTGCATTCTACGTCAGGAAGACTTACTGGAGCCATATTTACCTGATTGGAATTATTAATTATCTATAATTGTGGGTATTTTGGTACCAAGCGCAACGGAACACGCAACAGCCAACTGATTTAAGTAACATCCCTGAACTTTTATTTTGAGTTAATAATTCATAAGTTGTTTATTGTTACATTAACTTTTGGGCGTAATAACTTGATTGCTATTCCTTTTTGGTTAATATAGCTTTTGGTCCTCCACAGGTCGGGTTTACAACGCGTCGGTGAGAGAAGTTCTGCTGTATGCTTGTGAAACCTGGCCTCTCCGAGTTGAGGATGTCAGACGACTCTCTATTTTTGGTCATTGTTGTCTCTGAAGGATTTCTAACATTCAGTGGCAACACTATGTTAGTAATGCAGAGGTTCAGCATCGTGTGTTCGTGCACAGCGAAGATAATTCGATTGGTGTCACCATCTTGAAGCGTCGACTTCGGCGGCTTGTACATGTTCTACGAATATCATTTCAGAGAGTTCCACGTCGTGTATTATTTGCTGATGCTGGGACTGGTTTAAAAACGCTGAGAGGTGGTCAGTTTATGACACAGTATGAAAAAAGCTGTACGGGACTGGCTTCTGTTGGCTCTTCACGACTCCCTGGTTGGGGTCCTAGAGATGGTGCAACACAGTGGCTTGAGACGTCATCAGATATGGCTCAGAATAGAAGCCAATGGCGATCCTGTTGTAATTTTATTTTACTTCATAAAAAATGGACGTAACTTCTTTAACTGGAAGAATTCTTTCTGGTTGTATATTTGCTAACTGAAATGCTGCTACCATTATTATTATCTCACTGTCATACACTAATTCCTGTTCGTTATTGTTCGCCTTCGTATACGCACCATACATTCTTTATCTCCTCACATTCTTATTGTTATTGTGTGGCGCATATGTATTTGACGCCATTTTGTACCAATATTTACGTGTTCAAATAAAAAAATAATGAATTATTGGTTAATTTACTTAGTTAATTTCGGCTTTGAGATTACTACTTAAATACACTGTTTGCTTTCGATGGCAGTTATATACCATACTCAAAGCAAGTTTTTTTCTTCAGTAATTGAATGTATGTAGAGCCTTTAGAATGTTAATAAACTTCTCAAGCACACCCTTCTTCAATAGAAAATCCCAGAGAGCAGTCCTGTCTAACGAATCGAAGGCAAACCTGATGTCAAGAAACACTACGGTTGTTGGCCTTTGATAAGTATGACGGTGTTCTAACATCGGCGGCCTGCTTGAATATCTGGGCTACCTGTTCCTCCCATCTAGATATTTCGTCAAGTTATCTGTTTTCTTGTTTGTTTTGACACACTATTATGTCTATTGAGCTCACAACCTATTCAGGCGCGTTTACGAAAAGTTTACAACCTTTCGCTGTACGGATTACAAAAAGGTACAACCAGTGACATCATGGTGGTTTGCAATATGCATTGAAACGAATGAACATTATTCAGATGTCGATTATCGAACTCCTAACATCTAACTGGCCATCACTCAATATTTATCGTCAGGATCGATCAAGATATAAATAAAGGAATCTTGTTGAAATACTTTATGCTGAGAATTCAATATTGTACCAAAAATATAATGTTGAATAAAGCTTATAATAATAAATAATAAATAAATAAAAAATCTGACGGAGAGTGAAGATATGATTAACACATCCACGATCAGAACGAAAACAATCCTGCTCCTCGCGAGACAATCTTTCTTGGGTTTTGAACAACCTACTAGGTATGACGGAAGTCAATGGTTTGGACGCAGTCTGAAGTAGACTTATCTCCCGATAGTTGTCACAGGAACGACTTGAACCCTTTTTAAATATAGGGACAGCTGTCGACCCAGCCCATGACGTTGGTACACTCTCTAGCTCCCAGACCTTTGTAAACAACGTCATCAGCTCCTTAGCCAGAAAGTCACCACCATCTTTAGAAAGAGCTGGAGGTAAGTCATCTGGGCCCTGTGATTTGCAGCGCTTCAAGAGTTAGAGTTCCTTGCGGACTTCCGCCTTATTTGATCGATCAGTCGTCACAGGCCACGGAGGGCAAGACAGTCTGATCGCTGTTGACGGGGTAACAGACCACTTGAACTGCACCTCGGAAAACTCTGCCGATCGTCCAAGACATCGATAGATGTTAGTGATTGGTATCCTGTCAATTTCACAGATTGTTTCTTTACATCAGACTTCTTGTCACCAGTGCTTTGGATAATTTGAAAGGACTTCCGACAGTAACCAGATGCAGCTGCTGCTTCCAACTCATTGGCACTCTCCAACCACCAGGTTTCTCGGTAGTGACACAAGCTTTGCCCGATTTCATTACGTAACAACCTTCGTTTGTGGTCAAACTCACGATCACCCAGATTATACCGACGGGTCCCGATGAGTTGTAAGGAGCCCGAAGAAACACTGCCTATAAGCGGGACGTTTCGCGAAGCCGCAAGTGACTTTACTCGCCATTTTGATGGCGTCGTGAAGTGTCAACCAATTTAATGACATCAATCTATTTAGGGCGATGAATTTCTTGGCCACTGAAAAGTAAGGTAAGATTAACGCAAACAAGGGCATGATCCGAGTACAGATAGGTACTCCGAAAGGAGCGGCAGTCTTGTACACAACCACGCCAGTGGTAGCTGATCGTGATGTGATCAATCTGAGTCCAGGTTTGAGATGCAGAAAGAGAACACCAGGTAGCACATCGGCGATTACTGTGCCGGTAGTTAGTGCTAGCTAGAAACACGACGTAGTTTGAGAACAGTTGCAGGAGACGGTCCCCGTTATCTGAACTGCGATCAACAAGTCCACATCGGCCACCTGAACAACTCTCTTCTGTGCCTAAACGTCCGATCTAAGCATCAAAGTCTCCGGTTAGTGCTACAATATATGTCGAACACACTTTCTGTATAACAGTTAAATGATGGTAAAACTCATACTTGATCGCATTCGGGCTGCAATCTGTCCAAGCATAGGCGATGACGAAAAGAGATCGTTTCTCACAACGATTTCCTATTTAATGGAACTTTCTTATCTGGCAACACATAGCCGACCGTTGATGAGGATCCAATCGGTTAGTGCTGCCTCAGCGCTAGCACTTAGTGCGACACCAACAAGACCAAACGAAGATGCCACAGAGTCCCCGGATAAACGCACGTAAAACAAGCTTTTTGAGGCGCAGATGGAGAGCGAATTTGTAGTACTTCACTAGAGTGTTGAATACGGGTCTCGGATAGACAACAAACGTTGATATTAAGACTTTCTAAAGACATAGCCAACCCTACCTGCTGTCCGATCTGCATTAGTGTGCGAACGTTGAAGGAAGCCAGTTTGAGTGGCGTACGTAGTTTCAGAAAGACTATTTTAATATTCGTATTCGGTGGTAGCATTTAACTCTCGACCAGTCAGTGACTCGAGATAGTTTAGATAATTACTCATAAACAAAACATCATTTCACAATAGTGTACACTTACTTCAAGTGGCGGAAATTCAGTGTACGGGCACTTGGTTTTTAATTCGCTTATTTCTTCTTCATATTCTACTCGTCTACGATTCATATACTCACCAATACAGTATGTATGAAAATAATGAAAATTTGTTGTACAATAGACATCACTTTCATTTTGGAAGCAATTCAAGCATATTGCACACTCAACAGTTGGGATGTTGGATGAAATAAATTCACGACAAAACTAGATGTAGAAGAATTAGAAGCATATTTCAGACATGACAAAATGAAACAATAAATTGTTTACGGTACACAGATACAGATACTTTAAAAACTTTGAATTATCTAAATGATCTTTCAGCAGTTACTATATGGTGCTGTTTCCACGTCTAATATAGTGGTAACTAAGTCCACTAAGCGAAGGGATGTAATCTGTTACGTTTTGTATTGATTTCAGCTTTTTGAGTAAAAGTAGTATGAAGCACCTGACTTAGGTTTTGGCAAGATTGCTATACATCAACAGTATATATTTAAGATTGTTTAGAGGACTCAGTGGTCTGAAGTCGTGCAAGTGAATATGTTAGCTTTACACAATAACATATGGCACATAAATCTATCTTATAATTTTCACAATCAATTTTATTTAAACTAAACTTAATGGATGTATCATAATATTCTATTCCCAATCAACAATAAACTTACGTACATCCACAAGATCAAAAATAACTGGATCGCCGTTTCGTTCCAAAGTTAAATCTTTTAGAAGAGATAATAATTTTGCAATATCCTTTTCTTTCAGACCATGAACACATTCTACAGAGATTGTAGGTGACTCTATCGGATACTGTAAATAATAATATTCAATTAACGAATCAAAATATAGAAAAACTAATTATAAACAAACCTTCAAAGTAACACTCAAGTTTAGGTTAAATTTTATAAACGTGTTTGCGGAATTATTAAATCCTACTCCAGGAGTTACTACAAAAGTGACTGTATATTGATTTGAACTAAATAAAACTATCAAAGTATAGTTAGACAAAATAACCTACTCAAAGTCAACTTTGAATTCACCGGGAAACATTTCATATAATAATTGCAATTCATCTTGAATTCTTAAACAAAAGTTTTAATGTACACGGAAAACAAAAAGCTTACACGTTGTCCATGCATCAGTAAAACTTGTTTACCCGAAATTGTTCGATGAAGGGAAATGTCTATCAGGGGAATAAAATTACGTGTAAAACATCCGAAAGTTGGTAAAATAATGTTAGAATTATGGGTTAACTGTCTAGACTCATAAAATACAGATCTTAATACTCCGCGTGGTTTAAACAAGCGACCATAAAACGGAAAATAAAGGGGACAGTTCGAAAGGAAATAAAAGGAAAAACGCACCGAAAAGTCTATATTATCGTGCACCATGGGGAAATAGTGCGAAATTTACTCATTTCGTCGCCTTGTAGTCTACTTTCCACATAGCCCCAATCGCCTTCTATGCTTACCTTCATTTCCATTACGAAACACGTTTGGACACCAGTCAACTTGGTTAAAAGACGGTACATAGTCAAAGACATCGATAGGAAATAACTTCATAGTTTACAAGGAGAATGATGACGGACAGACGCTCGTCACACACAAGTACAAAGTTCCACTGTCGTTTGAGGTCTACAAAAGGAATTACAAGTAGTACGTAATCTATTAAGAATGTATCTTACATGTTAAGTCCATGTAAAGTCAAACACGTTCTCACCACATACACTTAATTATTCTCCATGTAGTACATGTAAGTGAGAAAGTAAATTCATGTCAAGATAAAGCTTTATTGCAAAACTAGGCTTAACAGGAGAATAAATTTGGAGAGTACATACCCCGTAGTGGCATGCATTAGCCACACCAATGTAAAGCGTTTAGATAACAACAGTACGTTAAAGAAGTGGAATCAACAATTCATTTTAGGATGTAATAACGTCGACATGTGTCCCAAGACTTCGGTAAAGCAAAACGAGATCAATACGGTCCTGATGAAATTGAAGATAAATAGCAGTCAGACCATCAGAGATGCTAGCTTCAATATTGATAGGTTTCGAGACTTTGTACCAGATTTACTAAAGAGCACTTAAACTGTCCTGAGAACATGCAGCATCTTTCAGCTTAAGTTTATCAGTAGTGAGGTTTACTACCATTTAGGATTTGAAACCAATCTGCTGAGATATGTAAAACTTTGGTTGGGCATTTTGATGTTGATTACTTGAACTTATGCATTCATGTAGACGGACTATACCTTTTAGATAGCTCAAATCAAAGTTCGGAACTTACAAACAGATTATTCTGATTAGAAAAGGTATCACTGAGATTCAAGAAAGGAGTTATTCTCGGAATACATCTTTTTGTCCAGCTTAATTTTGTAATAAAGCTTTATCTTGACATGAATTTACTTTTTCACTAACATGTACTACATGGAGAATAATTAAGTGCATGTGGTGAGAACGTGTTTGACTTTACATGGACTTAACATGTAAGATACATTCTTAATAGATTACGTACTACTTGTAATTCCTTTTGTAGACCTCAAACGACAGTGGAACTTTGTACTTGTGTGTGACGAGCGTCTGTCCGTCATCATTCTCCTTGTAAACTATGAAGTTATTTCCTATCGATGTCTTTGACTATGTACCGTCTTTTAACCAAGTTGACTGGTGCCCAAACGTGTTTCGTAATGGAAATAAAAGCGATATTGAAAACACAATGTGACAAAACGAGTAAATTTCGTACTATAGATACACCGGAGAGGATTCAAGAAAGGAGGAACAAGAAGGAAGCAACCAATACCAGTCGAACAAGAGCAGAGAAAACAATGGCACAAGCTGAATACACAGAAGTAAAACAGTAAGTGAAGAGGAACATCAGTACCGACAAATGTAAATATGTGGAAGATCTAGCAATGATGGCGGAAAAGGCTGTAAGAGAAGGAAACATGAGACAATTGTATGATACAACAAAGAAACTCGCTGGAAATTATTGTAAACCAGGACGACCAGTGAAAAGCAAAAAATGTAATCACCAACTTTGAAGAACGGCGAAAGATGGGTAGGACACTTCAAAGAGCTCTTTAATAGACCAGCCTCACTGAATCCACCCAACATTGAAGCAGCACCCACGGACCTCCCAATCGATGTTGGCCCACCAAAAATTGATGAGATCAACATGGCCATCAGACAAATTAAGAGCTGCAAAGCAGTGGGATAAGACAACATTCCAGTAGAGGCGCTGAAAGCAGCTGTAGTAGTAACTGCAAGAATACTCCATATTCTCTTCAGCAAGATTTGGGACAAAGAACAAGTACCAACGGACTGGAAAGAAGGACACCTGATCAATATATCAAAGAAAGGTGATCTCAGTAAGTGTGAAAACTACAGAGGCATAAATCTTATCTCATTATCAGGAAAGGCCTTCAACAGGGTATTGTTAAACAGAATGAAGGATTCCATAGACAACCAACTTCGAGATCGACAGGTCGAATTCCGTAAGGATCGATCGTGTACAGACCAAATTGCAACTCTACGGATCATTGTGGAACAATCAATGTAATGGAATTCATCACTCTACACCAACTTCACTGACTACGAGAAAGCATTTGACAGCGTGAACAGAACAACACTATGAAAGCTTCTTCAACACTGCGGAGTACCTGAGAAGATAGTCAACATCAAACGGAATTTCCGTGATGGATTAAACTGCAGAATCGTGCATGGAAGACAGCTGACGGACTCTTTCGAAGTAAAGGACGGTGTCAGGTAATGTTGCTTACTTTCATCCCTTCTCTTTCTCCTGGTGATCGACTGGATCATGAAGACGTCAACATCTAGGGAGAAGCATGGGGTATAGTATACATCTGGTATGCAGCTAGAATTTGCAGATGATCTGGCTTCTTTGACACACACAACAACAAACGCAGAAGAAGATGATCAGTATAGCAGCAGCCTCAGCAGCAAAACTTTTTGGTACAACATAACATACACCAATCCAATCACAATTGACGGAAAAGATTTGGAGGATGTAAAAACCTTTACATATCTGGGCAGCATCATTGGTGAACACAGTGTATTTGATGCAGATGTGAGGCAACAACTTACTGTTGGAGAGAATGAACCAGATCCCAGCGGAAGAAATCCGGAATAAGCGCGGGAAAGGGATAGGACACACATTAAGGAAAGCACCTAACTGCATCGCAAGGCAAGGCCCCATTTGGAATCCTCAAGGCCATGGGAGAAGGGAAGTCCAAGGAACACATTACGCCGAGAAAAGAAGGCAGACATGAAGAGAATGAACAAGAATTGGACATAACTAGAAATGAAGGCCTTGGAGAATGCAAGTCGGCGGCCTATGCTCCATTAGGTGTGACAGGCGAACGAAAGCAAGTGTTTTCCAATTTTGGATGAAAAATGAGAATTTTCGGTGTGTTTTCCATTTTATTTTCTCTTTGACCGCATTTCCTCATGCTTTTTCAGTTAAATACATAAAAATCCTATAGGATTTTGATGACAGTTATTTTCGATCAAAGCATTTAAAAATGAAGTGAAGCATACTGTCCGTATTTTATTCAGTCACTTAATAATTACTTTTGATAGGTCTGAGACTTACTTAGAACAAGTTTATTGTTCTTCGGCCAAGTAACAATACTGATGGCCTTGAAGGAGAATTAAAATGTTGCGTAATTTCGAGACATGTAGTAGCGCTTTATAACAGTTTCATTTTGGAAAGAACAGGAGGCGTGATGGTCTGTGTTAGTCCTGGCAATAGTGATCTCTCATTTGATCCAACTTTCTTTAGAAAGAGTCGACGGATGGAGCCTCAATTATGAGCTGAGGAAATGAATTCCACTCGTTGATGATTTTATGGAAAGTCGATAGTCAGTTGACAAGTAATTTGTTATGGGCTTGTGAACATTTTTGGAGTGTTTTCGTAACTTATCTATTTTGGAAGACAAGAAAAAATAGGGGCAAATCAAGTGTAAATTTATCACTAAGCAATTGGAAACCTGTAATCATGTAGCCTCCAGTTCTATGATATGACAACGAGAATATATTTAGCTTGGCCAGTCGAGCGTCACAAGAACGCCTCGCTGTCTTGGCAATCAGCTTAGTTTCTGTTCTTTGAACGTTTTCCAAAAGCTCACTGTCTTTTTTTAGGCAAGTGCTAGCCGCTTGTATGCAGTACTCAAGTTTAGGACGTACGAACACTGAACAAAGTCAAAAATATTTTAGCGTCGACATGAGTAAAAGCCCTACGTATTGACCATAATGTTCTAATAACTTTGACGGCTGTTGCACGACAGTGTAGTGACCTACTTTTGTCAACAGAACGCGATCGGTTCGATGAAAACAATTATTATTATAACCAATTGTACCAGTGATTGTTTTATTGTGCTCGTTTGTTTAACTGTGCTAATAACAGCCATTTTTGGGCTTCCATTGTATTCCGTTGCTTTTACGCGGTTTTCGACTACGCACGTATCTTATCTTGCCGATCGCAACTGTACTCCTTTGGCACGATCTCGGTATTCTTTCGATACCACGAGATCGCCAACAAATACATCTCGACTACAGCCATCATCTGTCTTCTGATGTTGACCTACGGGGATCTTATTGGTTAATTGGCACGTAGTCTTGTAGCGGTGTTCATAGTCAAGCTCAACTCGACACCACGCTACATTTGGTGAGCCAAATATTGGAACACGCCTCAACCTCGGTCAAATCTTTCAAAGAAGGCAATTCGGTTAGTCTATTGTTTTATCTATCCACGTCTGTCATATATTTTCATATTAATTTTTAATATATATATTTGACATGACGGATAACGATAAGTATAGTATTAATATAATTGACTCCGATGTACGTGTACCGAATCCTCGGCACTTTTTATTCGCGTGACGATAAATTCCACGCTTTATTCGAGAAATTCCCCAGAATAACTATACCACTCGAGGAGATTTCATCGGTGACCAATCGTGTGGTATACCACATAGTCACCCGCGGACCACCAGTCACGGCAAGACCACGCCGACTGGCACCGGACAAATAAGCCTTCGCTAAACGTGAGTTTGACAATTTACTATCTACTGGTATTATTCGTCCTTCTCACAAACCTTGGGCCTCTCTCCTTCATA